TCTTTCTGTGCCATGTCTCTCTCTTCAGCCCACCGTCTCGCTCTCTCTCTCTCCTCCCATCTCTTACTGTCTCTCCTCCGCACTGCATCTCTCTCTCACCACACCTTGCTCTCTCTCTCCCCACTCACTGCCTCTCTCCCCCACCTCACCATCTCGCTCTCAACCCACCTTGCTTTCTCTCTCCCCCTGCCTTGCTCTCTCTTTCCCCTCACTGTCTCTCTCTCTCCCCCCACACCTTGCTCTCTCATCCTCTCCCCCCACCTTGCTCTTTCTCCCCCTCACCATCTCTCTCTCTCCCCCTGCCTTGCTCTCTTTCTCTCCCCCCTCAATGTCTCTCCCCCTTCTTGCTCTCTCTCCCCCACACCTTGCTCTCTCTCTCTCCCCCTCACCATCTCTCCCCCCCCCTCCGCTGGCTTCCCGACTGCAGAGGGACCTTGCAGGAGGAGCTGAGGTGAGCTGTCGGTCTGCCTGTCTCACACTCACATAGCAGCTGTCCTAACGCTAGAACCTGCCTGGGCTGGTACCTGTCTGAGGCCCTGTCCACTTCACCTGCAGGAAAAACTGACCGGACACAGCGGTTAGACAAGAGCAGCGAACGATCATCCCAACAACAACAACATGACAGTTACCCAGCGCCTGCCTTTCACAGTGTCAGGAGGATGTCCCGAGGCGCTGGGCTGGACAGTCAGGGGTTTGGCCCCGAGCTGGGGGTTGGGATCAGGAGGGGTGGAGCGCGGGGAGGATGGGGGTGGGAGGGTGACCAGAGGTGCGGTCGAAGAGGAGGGTCTTGAGACGCATCTTATAATAACCAATGCCTTATCATGCTTTCAAGACGTCTCAAAGCGCTTTACGGGAAAGTGTAGTGACTGTGTATTTTGTGGGCAGGGGAGGGGGAGAGCAGGGGAGGGGGGAGAGGGGGGGAGAGGGGAGATGGGTGGATGGACAGACCTGTACCTTGTTGCATAATCTCCACTATCTGGACCACCTTGTCCATGTGTTTACGAGCCGCGATCAGGCCCTGGAGCATCAGCATCTTGTAATAGTTAAACATGTCACCGTCCAGCCCACCCATCACCTGCACACACAGAGACACCGGTTATACTAGCAATAAGAACAACAACACTGACATTTGATCAACGCCTCATCATGTCTTCTCAGAGCTTCACAGAATATACTGTAAAGAACATAAGAATTTTCTAGGGTAAAGAAGACCAAGGTCCATCTAGTTTGCCTTCCACCTTCCTGACAGTCGCTTGACATGCACCAAACTATATACTGTGTCAGAGTGAGTGTGTCAGTGGGTGTGTGTGTCTGTTGGTGTGTGTGGCTGTCTGTGTGCGTGTGTCTAATTACTATATCCCCAACATACAACAACAACAACAACAAGATTCCATTTATTGAGCGCCTTTCACGTCGGGAGGACGTCCCAAGGCGCTGTACAGTTGGGTCAGGACCCGAGCAGGGGGGAAATGGTCAGGGTGAGGGGAGGGAAGGGAGGGAGCGAGGAGGGGGTAGAGAGTCGAGAGGGGAGCTGAAGGCTGAAGGTCAAAGAGAAAGGTCTTGAGACCGGCCTTGAAGGAGGAAAGGGAGGAAGCGGCGAAGGCACTGGGGATAGAGTTCCAGAGCCTCGGGGCTGAAGGCCACTGATGGTCGGGAGGTTGGGGCGGGGGATGTGGAGCAGACCGGAGCCAGAGGAACGGAGGGTAAGGGCAGGTAGGTAGGGGGATAGTAGGTCGGAGAGGTAGGAGGGAGCAAGGCCGTGAATGGCCTTGTAGGTGAGGGTGAGGATCTTGAATTCGATCCTCTGGGGGATATTGTTGTTTTTATTTTTGTTACATATTGTTTTCTAGCAGAAATCTATTTAATTTGTTCTTGAAACAAATTGCATTTTCTGCTTCCACCGTCTCCACAAGTTTAATACTCGTAAAGTGTAGTAACTGTGTGCTTTGTGGGCGAATCGATTCAGAGGATTGTGGTTCAAGGACTGGGAATCACCCACAAAATATTTTCGCCCACAAAATATACAATCACTACACCTTACAGTATATCCTGTGAAGCACTTTGAGACATCTAAAATGAAGTGATAAGGGGCTGTATCAAATGCCAGGATTATTATTATTATTATAATAATCAGTCTAAGCTGACGCCCAGCATAGAGCTGGGGTTGGGTGTTGCATTGTCAGAGAAACCATCCTTGGGATGAGACATTAAATGCGCTGTGGGGCGCTGCGCTGTTGGGGAGGCTGCGGTTTGTACTGGACTCACATCCACAAACTCGCTGGTGAGTTTGAAGGCCGAGGTCTCGAAGCCCAGGTTGCGGGGAGAGCTGGACAGGATGAAGCCAAAGTCAATGTGGATGATGTGGCCCTCGGAGTCCAGCAAGATGTTCCCATTGTGTCTGAGAGACAGAGGAGAGAGAGAGTGAGAGAGAGACAGAGGAGAGAGGGTGAGGAGCGAGAGAGAGGGAGAGACACAGAGACACACACACAGTGAGACACAAACCTGTCCTTGACCTGCAGCAGGTAGCAGACGAGACAGTAGCCGGCACAGCTCTGTACAAAGTTCCTCTGAGCCGACAGGAACTGCTCAGTGGTGTAGCTGCCGTGCTCCTGCAGGAAGTAGTCGAGTAGCGACAGCTGTGACTGCTTCTTAATCTGGTGAATGGAGACGGCATTGACCACCGGCTCAATCATCCCACTGTCTGCCGAGATCACCAGGATTTTATAAGGTTTAATCCACAGCGGCACTCGCTCCACCTCCCAGATAGCCTGTGGGGGAGAGAGAGTGACAGTGAGAGAGATAGAGAGTGAGAGAGAGAGACACACACAGATAGAGAGAGAGAGAGAGATAGCGTGAGAGAGAGACACTGAGGCTCAGGCCAGGCTTCACCAGCGCCCTCACACAGGGTAGCATCCCACAGTGCTTGACAGTGGGGGGTGAGAGAGCACGATGCCTAGCCAGGGGGCAGTGACAGAGCTTCAGAGCGCAGTGGCTGAAATGGTGGAACAGAGGGGCACGAGGGATCAGCAGGAGGCCAGAGCCAGTTGATCGAGCAGGTGGGAGAGGTGGGGAGGTGCCTGGGCATGAAGTGGTTTCAAAACGAGTGTGAGGAGCTTGTAACTGATGTGTTTGGTGAGAGGGAGCCAGTGGGGTCTGGTGAGGGAGGAAGAGGAGGGAGAGAGGGGTCAGGGAGGGAGGGTTGTACCTGGAGCTGTTTCAGGACCTGGTAAGCCAGCAGCTCCTGTCGCAGATCATCCCCACACTTGACGATGACCGAGAGGAGCCGCCAATTGGGGAAATGTCCATAGGGAGACGACTCACGAATTCTCCTGCACGGGAGAGAGAGAGAGCGCGTGAGAGGCAGGAATGAGTGATGGGATTTTTCCCCTCCCTCTGCTCTCCCCCACCCCCACTCCCTTCCACCCTCCCCCTTTCCTCCCCCCACCCCCCTTCCTCCCTCTCTCCCCACTCTTCCCCTCATTTTGAGCGAGTGTTCCCACCTGACTTTCTCCTGCCAGGGTTCCTTCAGGGCCACGGCTGAGGGATCCTCCGGGTCTCGTTTGAAGGTGGTGGGCGCATGATGTAACTGCTCTGACAGACGCCGCCTGGAACAAAACAAACAGCAGCAAAGGCAGCAGCTGGTGATAATATACTCCCTGCATCTGACCCAGCACCTCCTCACGTCATCCAGACCTCTCAAAGCGCTTCATAGGCAATTCTGAAAAGTGTAGTGACTGTGTGTTTTGTGGGCGACATGCAGCAGCCAATTGAATAGTTCTACAGCATAGTGGTTAGAGCCCTCGCCTCACAAGTGAGAGGACCATTCCCAGGCAGGACAGGTTAGGGCAAAACCTTAAGCAAGTTTCCTTACTACACATACACACAGACACAGACACACAGACACACGTCCACCTGTATTTACCATCAGTAGGTAGGAACCCGCTTGTTAGTCAATTGGCGGATCACTTTCTGGGGGGTAATAATCTCTCAAAAAGAAAAAAAATTGGCTACTCAATCCTCTCCCACACTGAGCTCCATGACCCTATCACCCCCATCCTCCCCTGGCTTCACTGGCTTCCCATCACACAGAGGATTGGATTTCAAATCTTTATCCTCATGTTTAAATGTTCAAATCTTTATCCTCATCCTCGCCACAGACTTGCCCCTTCCTACTTCTGCGACCTCCTAAAACTTTACCCATTCATCTGCTCCCTCCGCTCAGCGAGCTCCAGCCTACTCCACATCCCCCATCCTCCCCGCCCTCCACCCTCTCCTGATCCCAACCCCCAGCTCGGGTCCAGTGCTTTGGGACGCCCTCCTGACGTGAAAAGCAGGCGCTGTGTAACTGTCATGTTGTTGTTGTTGTTGAGTGAGGGCTGTTATTGTGTGGACACATTACCTGATATCTCCAGCTGCTATGAACACAGGCTCCTTGCTCTCCTGACTGGTGATGCTGTCCACAGAGAACTGAGAGATGTTGTCACTGCTGTTTGTGTGGATTTCTGGCAGCTGGAAACCAGAGGCACAGTTTAAACCCAGCCTTCTACACTGGGCAGCCCAGCTCCCAGGTCAGAGTTACAGACACAGTAAAGCTCCCTCTACACTGTCCGTCCACACTCCCAGGTCAGAGTTACAGACACAGTAAAGCTCCTCTACACTGTGTGTCCACACTCCCAGGCCAGGGTTACAGACACAGTAACGCTCCCTCTACACTGTGTGTCCACACTCCCAGGTCAGGGTTACAGACACAGTAAAGCTCCTCTACACTGTGTGTCCACACTCCCAGGTCAGGGTTACAGACACAGTAACGCTCCCTCTACACTGTGTGTCCACACTCCCAGGTCAGGGTTACAGACACAGTAACGCTCCCTCTACACTGTGTGTCCACACTCCCAGGTCAGGGTTACAGACACAGTAACGCTCCCTCTACACTGTGTGTCCACACTCCCAGGTCAGGGTTACAGACACAGTAAAGCTCTTTCTACACTCACCTCTACCTGTAGTTCTCCAATGTCCTCCACAGACCAGGCCTCGTCATCGTTATCATAGTTAGGTACTGTGGTAAAACTGCCAGCCCGCTGCTCGTGGCTGATCCCACATCCCGGCAAGTTCTCCACAGACCGCGTGCTCCTGATCCGGTTCTCGGGAATCCTTATCGGGATCGGGGACATCTCCAGGTTGTCGCATTCCAGCACTTCCACATAGATCAGATAGGGGGCCTGGGGAGGGGAGGACAGGTCACAGTTCAGGCAAAAGGCAGCAAGCATTGGGGTGATGGGGTAGGGTGTTTAGTGTGATAGGGAGCCAGTGGAGGCTGGCGAGGGCTGGGGTGATGGGGTACAGGGTTTAGTGTGTGATAGGGAGCCAGTGGAGGCTGGCGAGGGCTGGGGTGATGGGGTACAGGGGTTAGTGTGTGGTAAGGAGCCAGTTGGGGCTGGCGAGGGCTGGGGTGATGGGGTACAGGGGTTAGTGTGTGGTAAGGAGCCAGTTGGGGCTGGCGAGGGCTGGGGTGATGGGGTACAGGGGTTAGTGTGTGGTAAGGAGCCAGTGGGGGCTGGCGAGGGCTGGGGTGATGAGGGATGGAGATGGGATGGGACCCACCTTGTCCTTGGAATTGAGGACCACGGCCTGGTTGTGTGGGACACGGACCACATGATGGTCGAAGGCAGAGGTGGGCAGCCAGACACGAGCGGGCAGCTTGTGGTTGAGGAGCGACAGCTCAGAGATCAGTCTCTGTGTCTTCTGCTCCTTGGTGGGCAGTGTGGCCAAGCGCTTCCCGATGCCCATCAGAGACTTGATAAACTCCCTCTCTGGTGCCAGCCTGGCTGGTTGCTGTGGACACACAATGCCACACACTCAATGCCACACTCTCTGCTGGCACCTCACTCAATGCCACACTCAACACTGGTAATTCACTCAATGCCGCCAGCAGTGTCCCACAAACAATAGGGAGTTGAGTAACTAAATTATTATTAGTTATTGAAGGGATTATTACCCCCGGAAAGGGAACCGCCAATCGACTAACAAGTGGGTTCCTACTCACTGCTGGTAAACAGAGGTGTCTGTGTGTATGTGTGTGCAGTAAGGAAACGTGCCTAAGGTTTTGCCATGACCTGTCCCATCTGGGAATCAACCCAGGTCCTCTCACTTGCGAGGCGAGGACTCTAACCCCTGCGCTAAACGTGGCTGGGATATTGACAACATGATGACTTAAGTGGCAGTGACAAGTTAAGACAATGTTAAGTTATCAGGAGTTGCTGTAGTTTTCTAGTAAACAGGAAAAGCAATGAGTCACTTGGGTACGAGAGGTCAACTGTTCATCAGATATTGCGAGATCAAAACCCAGCTCAAAGTTCAGATGACAGCTTTTAATTTCCTCTCCCTCACTCTCACTCTCTCTCTCCCTCACTCTCACTCTCTCTCTCCCTCACTCTCACTCTCTCTCTCCCTCACTCTCTCTCTCCCTCACTCTCACTCTCTCTCTCCCTCACTCTCTCTCTATGCACTTTCCCCTCATTCCACGTCACACTAGTCAGGGTGTGAGCATTCCATGCACTTAATGTGGCCTGAGGAATAGGCACACAGACCCCGAGACAGCTTCACATCCCTTCACCAGATAATCAGTGGGCTTCACAAAATAGAGGCTGAGTAGAGGGGTTGTAGGAGAGGGGGAGGAAAGTCCAGCTCGGACCACCCTACCCGTTAGTTAGGGCTTAGGCTGCAGTGTTAACAGGAGCTGAGGGGGAGGATTTCCTGCCCCCAATCATATATGTGTGAGACTCTTAGTCTGGTTTGGAGACTTTTAAGGGTTTCAATTGTTTTCCAGGTGTGTCAGACACCCGACCGGTCACGGTGACGGGTTTCCGTGTGTGTCGGACACCCGGCCGGTCACGGTGATGGGTTTCCGTGTGTGTCAGACACCGACCGGTCACGGTGACGGGTTTCCGTGT